CAATGACCTAGGGCTAGCTCATTTTTGCGACCTCTCCACTATAAGTCAATAAGAGAAAATTGAAAGGCACCTTTTTTTGGGCAAACCTCCTGTCCGGTATAGCTCAGTTGGTAAAGCAATGGACTCTGAGCCCGGGTTTGAGTCGCTCCGGCGCTCGATATTTGAGACTCCTGACGGGGATGGTCTGAGGTTAGTGGGAGCAGCCGCAGCCAGTCAAAGTCAGGAGTGGGACAGGCCGTGTCCGGCTTTGAAGGGCACGTTAAACATTGGCATCGTTAAACGTTAAACTAAATTCTCCTGTCACCCGGAATTACGCGATCGGACGGTAGGGGTCGGGCTCTACGCAACAAGCTCTGCTTAGCGTAGGCTCCGGCTCCCGTAATCCGCCCTTTCAAACATTCGTGCTAAATTTACAAGAAACGTCACTCTTAACAATACCGAGTTACAACCTAAACAGCACACAGTGAACCGGAAAATAGCGCCCGTGACCCCTCCTTATGTCCCTGAGATCATCTCAGGTCACGAAAGATATGCAATAGTTTGCAGCAATTCGCTAATAACTTCTGCTGGAGGCATTCTAGAGCAATAGAAACACCTTAGATGTGTTCAGCTTTACGATACGGATCGACTGATATGCAACACGACCTTTTCCGGTCAGGTCATGACTTGACCAAATGTCAAAGTTGTAAGTTCACTTTTTAAGATCAAATTATAACTCATTCGACGCGTCTTCGCGAGAGGAACACGATGCCGGTAAAAGTAAGATCGCACAAGGTTTGATTCAAAAGTTATCGCAGAAAATCCGTTCCCGTAAAAATAGTATATATTATGGCAGTTTCCCCTGGAGGCAAAACCGTTGATCTTGGGTCCAATCTGAGCGAATTATCCAGAAAGAGCAGTTACAGTGCTATCAAAATAGCTTTTCTGGGGCGCTCTAGCTCTATTCGTTTCCGAGTTATGCGCCAGTTCTTCAAAAATTGTCGAAACTGGACCTAAATATTATCGGAATTTGGCCTTTGATGGGCTCTGGTGATCTGACATCTGACCTGACCTTAAAAGTGACTGGGGTAATTTGGTCATTATGTTTGACACTCTTTCAAACGCCGCCTACCGCGTGTTGCTACGTGGCACAGGAGCCGAGTTAGAAGGGATATGGGTGTTCAAACATCCCCCAGGGGCGTGAAAATCCAGGAGCCCCAGCGCGGCTGGGCACGGGTTAACATAAGACATTTTACACCATCATACGGTATAAGATGGTGTAACTGGCGTTGTGAAGTAACTTGGTCACTGGCGCGGTGGTGGCTCGGGGTCGCCGATGGTCGGCTAAACTTTTGCCCTCCCCAAACGGATCGGCTGGATCCGCCCCTGAGCCCATGCCAGTCACTGAGAGCCTAATGCGCTGTCTGATGGCTAACACCGTCCTTGGAGCGCGCAACAGCGGCCTCAATTCCTCAAGAACGTTGATTTGAGAGGCCAACATGTCGGTGTCAATGGGCTCCGCTTCTCGGTTTTCGATTCCTTGTGCAAACTGGACTTTGGTTTTTCGGTGTGAAGCAAAATTTTCTCGATAAAATTGTTAAGCTTTCTTTGAACTCTAGAAAGAACGGAAATTTATCATCGATTTCTGGAGCTGCAGGGGGGGGGGGGGGGGAGGGCGGTGAATTCGCCCAAAATGCCCACCCTGGAACCACCAGCGAGGTTTTGTGTTTTGGGTCGGACCCCCCCCCCCCCCCAATCCCAAAACCGTGGCGGAGCCCCTGCGCATACACAATCGAACCCAAATAAAGGAAAATCGAGGGCCAATTTCATAGATCGCTATCACTCGTAGGCTGCAGCACCATGAAAGAGTTGCTGGATTATTTGTTAGTTTTCGGCCAATCAAGTAACAAACCCTCGCCGGCCGATGGGGGGGGGGTGTGCCGCCCCCCCCCCATAGGGTTTTTTTTCGCAATAGCTCCGAGCACGCTGGCGATAGAGAGCGCTGAAACTTGGCATACCTGACCTTTGATTCAATTCGGATCTTTTGACACCAACTGCATTTTCGGGTCAGGTCAGGTCAGTGACCTATGACGTCATAAGTGAACCTCTGCACGGTCTTCAGATGTCGCAACTTCGCAACGCCCTCACTGCCAGAGGAGCTTTCACAGGGAAATGAAACTTGCAGGATCCAGTATCCATTAGGAGTCTCAAAACCTGTATATCTCGGATTTTTCCTTAAGGTCATATGAGGTCAGGTCATTTTCATGACCTCACCATGATAAGTCAATGGGGAAAAATGAAAACTGCTACTCTGGCGCCGGCAACGGTCTCCAACCATCCCAACCACACAGAATCGTGATTTCATGCACTCCTTGCAAGGTTTGATTAGTCACTTTTTCAATATTGACCTTGCGTGACGTCATTTATGACGTCATTAGGGTCATATTAGTTTTTCGTCAATGACTCCCGATCTAATTGAGCTAGCGAATCGGGAAAGTCACCAACGGACTCAGGAAGAGCTGCCGAATCGAATGCTATGCGACATGACCTCCGACCAATTTCGTGACCTGAGGGCGCTGACCTGACCGTGACCTGAGGTCAACACCCTAAGCTGACCTGACCCAAACAAAAAGTATATATTCGACGCGCCTGAGCGAGGCGAACACGATTCTGCCAAAATCGCGGCACTGCGGCCGTTTTTATGCGAAGTTATTCATCAAAAACGGAACCGGACCTTGGGGCACTTGACCTGACCTCAAAGGTCACCGGTTGACCTAGGACCTTAAAATCGGATATCAATCTCTGCGTCTCGTAAGGGCGCACACGCCCGTTTTTTCCGCAACGCGCTAGCTCCACCAGGGGCGAAACGGCGAGAGGGGTCGTAGTCGTACCAGCCCCCCTCGGCCGGCCTATGTAGAAAACCTATAGGTCCGGCGAGGGTTAAAGGTACATGGGGCCCTTCAAATACCTTGAATGCGAGGTTTTGATATCCCGGCAGTTGCTGGGGTCGTTCGCCAACCACCACGTGCTGGGGGGGGGGGGGGGGGGGGGAGGGGGCTGGCGCGTGGCGCCTCAAGGATAACTCGAGAACCAATAATCGCATGGCAAGACGAAAGAGACAGCTAACTAAACCGAGACCAGACGCTTTTGATAATGATTTGATTTAAAAATTGAATTATTAGATCACCAGGTCGGGTCAAGTTCAGGTAAAACGTCCGGAACATCCAACGTAAGTGGTATCCCAGTAAACATGCCGACGTCGGCCCGACGTCGGCCGACGTCGGGGTGACTTCGGCAACTCGGCATCGGCATGCCGACGTCGGCCCGACGTCGGTCCAACCTCGGCACGACGTCGGCTGGATGTCGGATATGCCCGCATGTACCGACGTCCAGCCGAGGTCCAGCCGACGTCGGGCCGACGTCGGGGCGACGTCGGACCGACATCGGCCGCTGTTTTGACCGTTAAAATAATATAAAAAACATGTTTCATGTTTCATAAAGAGCTTCTGTATTCAAAATATCCTCAGGAAACTCAAATCTTCCTCCACGCCGCAACCCCCTGATCCGGACTGGACGGGAAACTTTATCCCATTTGGGATTGTCCGTAAGCCGAGCTCGCCCGTAGCCGGGTGCGGGGGCTGCTCGGCCTATCCTTTGGTCAGGCTCAGCCCCGGCAACTCACCAGGGCCGGGCCCAGTTCATATAGAAAGGCCAGTCGGCAAGCGTCACTTTGCCAAAGTGCCACTTATCAAAGGGACACTTTGGGAAACGTTGGTGCAGGTGTGTAAGAGTGGCCATATGAATCCATTGTGGGGTCGCCCTTTCCAATAGGTAAGTGTCACGTAACAGCAATGGGACCAGGGACTCTATATGAACTGGACCCAGGGTGCTCGCCAAGAAGACCAATGTCTCCATCCTATCATCCTTCCGGCTCTGAAATGGTCTTGTCAGACCGAAAGGGCATAACCCAACAAAACAAACTAAATTCGCTATTTGGCTGCGTGGTGTAGTGGTTAGCGAACAGCGCGTTCAAACGACACGGGGTTCGAATCCCATCGCCGGCTGATGGTTTTGGCGTGTTGTCCCAGTAAACATGCCGACGTCGGCGACTGGGGGCTCGAATCCCGCCGCCGGTTGATATTTTTGGCGCGTTGTCCCAATAAACATGCCGACGTCGGCCCCGTCGGTCCAACGACAAACGATCTCGTCAACCTCGGCAAACGACCTCGGCCCGACGTCGGCTCGACGTCGGCTGGACTTCGGCTGGACGTCGGAACATGCGGGCATATCCGACGTCTAGCCGATGTCGGGCCGACGTCGGCATGTTTACTGGGATTATATCCATGGTAACTGAGAGGCATTCTGGTACTCCGTCTTATCCGTTCCTTTCGAGCTTGCTCTCCTCAGCACCAGAGGACCGAAGCATTGATATATTTATGCCGCGAAAATGTATTTCTAGCATTCCAGGGGCTAAAGCTGAGACCGCCGAAGGCCACGTATCGATAAAGCATCTCGGCGAGAACGGTTGCATTCATTTTACGAAAGGCCAGGATAAATCAGGGCGCTTGACAGTCGTGACGTCACGCAGTTCCAGCCGCTATATCGGTATTGTTACCCCGCGCCCCGTTGGGCTATTTTAAGACCCCGCCACCCGTAGGGGAGGGGGGATTCGGCCCCCACGGTCCCATCCCCCTAAGATCTCCGAAAGTTACCGACCGATCGTCTAATTCAAACGGCGTTCGACAGTCACCTCGAGGAGCTATCATTTAACCCAATTTCACTGACCTGGGTGCGGCCGATGACGTCAGAGGTCAGGTCAACGTTCGCATTTTTGCTTGTTTTACCATCTAAAAACCAAAACGTTGGCTGTCCTCAAGCCTCAGTTTTGTGCAGGCGCCACCGTCAGTTATTTAGGAAGTGCGAAAGGCCATGTGCTTCGACCATGCAGGCTGGCGTGAACCTCCCTTTGCAGTCGTGTTCCACCGCAACATGACGCCCCTTTACACCTCCAAAACACACCATTTCTAATAACTTATAAAATGTATATACGGAAATAACACGATTCTCACCGGCATTCATATGTACAAATAAGCAGAACATGTGTCCGTACAGATAGAAGGCCGCCCCTAAGTCAGGTCAGGGCGGGTCCTGCGTGGCAGGCGGTCCCTGGTGGGCGCGGAGCGGAGGGCCGCTCTCTCTCTCTCACAGGGCGGGGCAGTCACAGGGGCGGCGGGCGGCCGTTCGCTGCCGGCGCCGCCCGCGGCACACGGGACGCGTCAGAGGGGCCGCCACAGTCGGGCCGGCCGGCCGGCCAGGCCCCCTCAGTCGCCTCCCAGGAGGGTTATTGACTAGCACCACAATGGCTAAGAGTAAAACACTGTGTTACGTGGAAGCGACCAAATTTCCAGAAAGCTCACACTCGCCAGGCCACATGGCAGCTGATCGCTGTCCGTGCGCGCACGCACACCACAACTCGCGGCGGACGCCGCGGCAGTGGCAACAATCACATGAGAAGCCCCGGGCGGGGCGGGCAGCGTCCACAGCCGCCCACCTAGGCAGTGGTCTCGCCCTGTAGTTTTCCGATCACCTGTTTGACCCAGCCGCGCGGCAGCGCCTCCTCGCGGCTCGAGCTGCGCGAGTGGCCGCGCGACTCGCTGCCGCCCGCCTCGATCACAGTGTTGACGGTGCACGTCGAGTGCTGAGAGCTCGTCTCGCTCTCGTCGCCGCCGCGGCCCCCCGAGCGCCACTGCTCGAGCTCGCGGCGCCGCTCGCTGATGCTCTTCAACGCCTCGGCGGTGGGCGGCGCGCAGACGTCCTCGCGCCGCAGCTGAGACTCCTCCAGCGAACGGAGGCGGTCCTTGATGGACCCGCCACCACGGTTCGGCTTGGCCGGCACCGGCGGCGGCACCTTCTTGGCGGGGACGGTCGCCTGGTCCGCCAGCTCCAGCGCGTCACCCGAGTCGGGCACCTCCACGGGCGCGAACGAGTCGATGAACTCGGCCTCGTCAGCCAGGTCGGAGGCGTCCAGGTCGTGGTCTGCCAGCGGCGCCGGCGCCGGCGGCAGCGTGGCCTCGATCGAGTCCAGCAGCTCGTCCGGGTCGCTGTAGATGGCCGAGTCGCGGAACAGCTCCGAGCCGTGGATGTCCTCCAGAATGTCCAGCTCGTGCTCGTAGAAGGAGCCCACGGATCCCTCTCCGTCAGAGGCGGTCAGACTGGTCGCCTCCTCACTGACCTTGCCGCTGGTCTCGGTGGCCACGCCGCTCGTGCTGCCACTGGAGACGCTCGACGACGTCACCACCGAGGAGCTGGAGAGCATCGAGTCCGGCCGCGCCTCGGCCGCCTTGGCGCGCGCCGAGGCCGGCGGCTCGGTACGCCGGCCCGCCGCCGGCCGCGGCGACTTGGGCTGGGTCGGCGGCGACGCGGCGCCGCCGGAGGCGTTCTCGCGGATTCCCCGCGCCAGCCGCGCGCCCAGCCCGGCACCACCCTGCGCGAACGGCGCGCCGGTCGGCAGCACGCGCGGGCTCTCCGCGTCCGACTCGGCCTCGTCGGGCACCAGGCTGGCCACGCGCTCCTTCAGCGACTTGGCCATGATGTAGAGCAGCCGGTTGCGGCTCTGGTCCCGCATGTCCACCTGACTGCCGGCCGGCGATCCGAACAGCGAGCTCAGGGACGCGCCGCCGCTGCTACCGCCGCCGATACTGCCCTGCGAGGGCTGCTTCAGCCGCATCAGCCGCGCGCGGAACGAGCCGACCATGCTCCTCAGAGACGACTGGGAGACGGCCGGCCCGTAGATCCTGTAGTCGGGATGCACGTTGAGGCTCTCCGAGCTGGCGCCCGGCGTGGTGGTGTACGTGGTCAGCCGGTCGTCCTCCTGGACGGCGCGCGGGGCCAAGTACCGGTCCGCGTCGAAATCGACGCTGGGCGTCCGGCCGAGCGAGCCCGTCCGCTGGAAGGTGCCGGGCAGCGAGTCGGCCTTCTTGGCCAGCTGCGGCGTGAGATAGGTGCTGACGCGCGCCGGCACCGGGTCGCTGGCCGAGCTGGCCGCGCGCCGCAGCGTGGCCAGGCTCAGCGCCGCCGGCCGCAGCTCGTCCTGATCGTTGAAGCTCTGCGCGCGGCGCACCGCCAGTGGCTCCTCCTCGGCGGGCGGCGGCAGCGGCCGCTCGTCGGTTCGACTCAGCCGGGCCGACTTCTTCCTAATACTACCGAGGAAGTGGAGCAGCTCGCTCTGGCCCACGCCCTGGAAGCGGCCGATCTTGCGCACCACGCGGCGGCACGGGTCGGAGACGGTGCGGTGCAGACCGGCGCGGTCCGTGTCTGCGTCCGGTGCCGCCGGCGCCGTCGCTGCCGCCGCCGACTCCGGCGAGTAGTCCAAGAAGCTGACGTACTCGGTGTTGCCGTGGCTGTGGAAGGCGAGCGCGGACGGCTCGGCCGGCGGCGCGTCCTCCTCCTCGGCGCAGGCGCTGAAGCTGAGGTCGTCGTCGTCCACCTCTCCGTCCGAGTCGGTCTCCTCCGACTTAGCGGCGCTGTTCTGACGCCGCAGGCCGCGCCGCGGCTTGTTGAGGATCCTCCTGAACTCCATGTTCTGCATCACCAGCTGCTCGACGATCGACTGCAGGTTGTCCGGCTTGCCGTCCAGCAGGTCCTTGACGTCGCACTCGCTGACGTCGTCGGCGTCGGTGGCGTCGTCGAGCGCCGAGGAGACGTCGTCGCAGTCGGAGCGGTGGTCGGCCGGCCCCTCCTCGTCCAGGTCAGGCAGCACCTGGAGCTCGGAGCTGGGCGAGTCCACCACGCTGACACCGGGGCCGGCGCGCTGCGGCGACAGCAGCGAAATGAACGGCTCCGACTTCCGGCGCAGCGTCAGCAGGCTGCGGCGGCCCTGTGAGAGGGAGGAGGAGGTCAGTCGTCTGAGGTGATTTGTGTGACGGTGGGGAGACGATAAGGTCGGAAAACGGAAAGGGAAACCCTTGCTGCGGTCCATTTTGGCAAAATGACAGACATAACCATTTGTAAGATATAAACAACCTGTAATTTAGCCTCCAAAACAAGACAGTCTGCCTTGAGGCCACAATCAATCTAGTCTCAACTTGTCTGAGTTCTCTACTCCAGCAGAGCTCCCCAAACCCATGCGTCTCCCCTCCACCTACCCTCTTCTCGTCCGGGCAGCTGGCGGTGCTCCTCTTCCTCTCCCTGTCCTCCTCCTCCTCTGCCACCGAGTCCTTCCGGCTGTCCAGCGAGCTCTTGCGGTCGCGACTGCGCAGCCGGAGCTTCTGGTTGAAGGAGGCGCGTTTGTAGGCGCGCCTCCGCTCCAGGTACTCGGGGGCAGAGTGCTGCCGCTTGCTGCTGCTGTTCCGGCGCACCTGGTCACCTGGCAATGAGAGGAGGGGACATGGTCACCAGCTGCCGCCAGCTCGGGAAGAGCACGAGTTAAGAGAGGGGATCTTAAAACATGAGTGGATGGCTAATGTCGTTTCTTCGATACCTTCTACACGAATACTGCTATTTGAGTACATCTGTGTATGTTGTGGTCACGTAAGGACATGCACAACACCAGTGGGATTATACACGCAGTCGTTCTGTCGTTGCTCACCTCCGGCCTTGTCCTGGCCGAGCTGCATCACCAGCTCACGCGCGTGGAACGGGATCACGGCGTTGTAGCTCTCCAGGATCGCCCTCTTCAGCTGGAGGGCCCAGTCGCGCTTCTGCTCCATGCTCCGGGCCTAGGGAGGACAGGTGGCGTCAGCCTCAGCTCGGTGTAGGTGGCGGCAGTGTCCCCCCGGCACAGCAGAGTTCAAAGACCCGGCCCGACATGGCCAGTTGATAGTGACATAAATCGGCGCCGGAGCGGCGATCGATGCAGCGGTGGCCGCCGTTTGCACCGGTCTGCTCCGCCCTGTCAGCGCTCTGATGGCCGGCCATAGCGCGGATAAAACACGTGTCTGACGACCGTGCGCCGCGGCCGGCAGAGTTTACTGCGGGGCGTCCCAGCAAACGGCGCCGTCCACCGCGCGCGGGGCAGACGGACAGAGTCAGAGCGGGAACTGACCTGCAGCGTGTACTGGAGCCGCGGGTTGTCGAACGGCACCACGTGGAAGCTGTATGGGTCCCCGGGGATGCTCTCGATCAGCATCAGGTTGGAGCACTGTCAAATAGAGGAGCAGGGTCAGAGTGGCGCGGCGGGACAGAACAGTGACGAGTGTGACACGTTAATGACAAAGGGTGTCACCGTGACCCCATTCGGTAATGTTATCACGCCAATTAATCAGGAGTGATTGCTGAAATAGCACAGCCTACCCGGCCACACCACAGCTTCCCATTGGCATAACACCTAAGATACGTGCCTTTCGGAAAAACGCCGTCCATGAAAATCAAGTATCAACAAGTCAACATATACCTAATATCACATCAGCGAATAACAAACTACCCTACCACATCAAGTAGAACTGGCCAAACTTATGGCCCGTGACCAGTCTGCATAGTGTGCCAAATACGTTCCACGCCAGGTGTTTTGTAGGTCTGCCCTGATCCCTCCCGACTGTTCCCCATCCCGTCACTGACCATGATGTGCGCCTTGTAGGCGAGCGTGGCGTCCTCTCGCCGTTTGGTGATGAGCACCATGCGGTCGAAGAGGAACACGTGGCGTGATGCCTTGGCGCGGTGCATCCGGAACGCGCCCTCAGCCACCAGCTCCCCGTAGGTAGTCAGGTCCTCGCCCTGGGGGAGAGGGGGCACACAGAGGTCAGTGAGAGGGCACAGAGGTCAGATGGGGGGACACAGAGGTCAGATGAGGGTCAGCAAGGTGAGATGAGGATCACAGAAATCAGTTGAAGGGCCACTAAGGTCATCTGAGGGTCACAAATTCAGCTGGGGACTGCAGAGGTCAGTTGGGACTATACATTGAAACCCGGCGATTGACAATGGGGAGCCGAAATGATGACATACCTGATGGGTTACGTGTTGTGTAGCTGTAGCAGACGCTACCAGGAACATTGCACAGCAGTAGGTAAAAATAAGGCGTACAACCATCAGGCGCATTTTCATGTTTGTCGGGAAATTCCGGGCACACGTAACGCCACACAAAAACTGTTGTTGGCTGTGTGTGGTTTGTAATCGACCGTCCATCTCTAGGAGTCGCGGCGCACCTGTAGCACCCAGACACGCCAGTTGGGAGCGTCCCAGCCGGGTGTGGGAGCCGCACGCGGCGCTGTCTGGTTCCCACCGGTACACAGGGGCGGGGCGGCCCGTCCGCCTCCCCAGCCGCCTAGAAAGTGGGCGCGCCGACCAACATTGCCACAGATTCGCTGGGTGGTCGCTGGGACGGGCACAATGACAGCTGGACGGACACTGCACGGCCGAAACTGCCATTGTTGCGAGCCGTACCGAACTCAATTTTCCTTATTCCGGTCGTTAGCTGGGTACATTTTACTTCGAACCATCACGGTGACGTTTACATTTTTATTGTCTGTAATTTTTAGTTTCTCTTTGATAACCAGTTAATTGAACTGCAACTTGAGCCAAGAAGCCCGATTGTATACGACGAGAGGGCCTAGCGCAGCGTATCAAATTGTTGGAATTAAATCCCGTACCTCACCATTCGCAATTAATCTGTGCCTGGGCCCGTGGTTCAGCAATTTGTGGTCGGTTGGGAAGGGACAGTGTGCGTTTGAGCTCTCAGAGAGGTCATTGACCTCGACTCAGAGAGCAGCTCATGGGTATCCACCCGATGGGCAGGGGTCTGGGCCGGTAGACTGCGTGAACTGTGACAAATGTGAGCAATATAAGCCGGCGACTCAGCCAGTTGTGCCCGTTAGCCAGAGCCGCAGAGTAAGCGCAGTCGGGACGAGACTTATGGACGAGATAGAGCCGAAACTGCGAAACGCGCCGCCAAGTAACACAGCTCGCAAATAAACGCAGCCGAACGCATCTGCACTGACAGTCGACCAACAAGTTTGGCGCCGGCTGAGCGCGTTTTGGCGCGGGCTGGGCGCGTTTTGGCGCGGGCTGTGCGTGAGATGGATGATCAAAGAGCCACGTTGGTCTGTCGGCGCCCGGCAGTTGGTTCAGGAAACAGGCGACTGGCACTGCACGCCAAGTGTCGCTGTCGGCCTCATTTTACCGTTCATGAGACCGTGCGTGTGTCAAAAGCGACAGCTTTACAGGATAACATCGACATAGGTTACACTACAAGAATCTTTACTTACACCTGGGTTATTGACCCCGCTTAATTCACTCTGAAATGCTACTTCTGTTGGCTGTTATTATTACTCCAAAGTAGGTCGAGTACACAGCTAAAGCTGGCCTCGGGAAAGTCTCTGAAACACTGATATTATTTTGATAAATCTAGCACTGCCGCAGCAACTAGCCGCAGCCGTCGCCACAGCTATCCGTGCGGCTGCCCTCGCCAGTTACCGCCGGGTGCAGCTGCCGCCACAGCTATCCGTGCAGCTCCCTATATCCCACTGACTGACCTCCCAGCCGTAGAGCAGGCTCTGGATCTCCTGCACGCGCACGGCGTGCTCGTGCCTCCGCTTCATGTCGTTGATGTGTCCGGCCAGGGCGGTCATGGTGTCCAGAGCGGCACACACCACCCCGTAGCCGTCCGAGTGGCTGTCCGTGTGAGACTTCATGTTCTGCCGGGGAGAGAGAGCGACACGGTCAGCTCAGTAGGCACAGCACAGCTCACAAACAGCCCGGTCATCGGAGAAAGGTGGCGTCTCGTGAAAAAATACACACACATTTGGGTTAACATCTGCACTACGCTCACGTTCATTTGACTAAAGATGCGTTTTGTATTAAAGCGATTTTTCTAAAGCATACATGAACCGGTCTCAACAATACAGAGTTGTTAGTAGTGAAACGTGACTCTCAGTGGACTAGGTTAGGTGACTGGGCGCATACATATCAGCATATCCGGCGTCATGTATGACAGAGTCGCTCGAGGCTTTCGTGCAGCCTCGCTAACACAGCGGCGCCCGGCGGCGGCGCTCGTCCGCTTGTAATTGCCTTGCTGAGTAGCGTAATAAAACGCAGACATTTCAGGAGCACCGTCCACCGGCGCTCCGATTGAGATTAATGGCCATTCGCCGCCGCCGCTACAAGGCGATGTACAAACGATGTCGGGCCGGAGCACAGCATTGACCCAACTGCCGTGATGCAACTGGCGCCGCTCGACAAATAACGATTTCACGCATCTCCGGGGCCTCGCAACGTTCTCGGGGGTTGGGTCGCCTAATGAAGCGGTCAGATCATCACACAACCCCATTGCGCTGGCCCGGCAACCTTCCACAAAGCCTCTTTGTCGCCGCTAATTCCGTTAATATCAATAGCGACTGATCTATCACGGTGTGGTGTGTGTGATAACTCACACAGTCCGGACCCGCGGCGGCGGGACACGGGACGGGCCGGTGGCACCATGGCCCGGGGAGGGAGGCGCCGTGGTGCCGAGATTAATCGCACTGTTGTGAACCGCGCCACGCTGTGGTGGAGCCGCTACACGGCAACAATCACCGGGCCTGAGGCAAGACCTTGATTACATCACCGGCGCCGCGAGACGCCGAGCGACCGCGGCCCGCAGAGCTGAGGTCAAGGCGGTGACCTCCTGACCAGGGGGGGGGGGGTCAGACGGACCCCCGGCGAAACGGTCCCACTCGGTATGTACGGCACACGATTGACGTGAAAGGCGGCGACAGGCGAGATCGATGCCGATAATATGCCGGTGTTACACGGCGAATTTAGCCAAAGACCGCACGCGGACGACACTAAAGATGAACAAATGACCTGGGGTTTCACCGGTCACAGGGCGGATCACCGGTCATAGGGGTCGTACCTGCAGCAGGAGGTGGTACTTGAGTATCCGCTGCACCGGTTTCAACAGGAACGATCCGAGGGGCAGGGCGTGCCCGAGCGCCGCCTGACGCTCGCGGAACAGGCGGGCCGTGGTCTCTCTGCGCATCAGCTCCGTCAGCACTGACACCGTCCTGAGGAGAGACATAGGGGAGACAATGTTACTGACACCGTCCTGAGGAGAGACATAGGGGAGACATAGGTCACAATACAGGGAGACAAACGGGGAGACATAGGTCACAATGCAGGGAGACAAGCGGGAAGACATGGTCAATGGTCATTGACACCGTCCTGAGGGAGACAAAAGTCTGACGCGTCCTGAAAGGAGATAGGGAGGAGACAGGTTACGACATTGTTCTATGGAGACACAGCTGAGACAAGAGTCCACGCTTAGCGGGAGGTAGAACGACTCGGACTGAGAAAGGCATAAGGCGACAAGGGTTGATAACAACATTAACTTCAGATGACGTAAAGGGATAAAGGCATTTTGAGTCGGGCTTTCAATGGGACCCGGAACCGAAAGTCTAGCGCCGTAAGTGGTAGTTGCGGCATCGTCCGATGCATAGAAGGGCTACTCGGTTGAGTAATAGCCCACTAAAAAGACAACATCGGAACCTCATACCTGTCTCGGCAACATTAGCTGCGACACTGTCTAACACACGTCACAACGGTCTCGCAACCCTCAGCCCGGCTGCACTTTGTGCGATACAAAGCTGAACACGGTCTCCGTTAGCACATTTACTGTCGCCAGCAGTCACATATATATCGTCCACTGATCGCGACTGGGGTGACAGGGCAGAGTCACTGTGGCACGTGAACCGTGTCAAGGATGACGGGAGCTATAGAAAACGTCCGACCGGCCCGGCCCGGGTGGCCGCCAGTGACGTCTCCGCAGTGTTCCAGTGATGCTCGGTGCCGATAGTGTTATATGGTCTCATTATCTGGCATTAGCACACCCCAGTGGACCGATTCGACATGTGATGTATCACCAGTCTCCCCGCAATACTGCGGTCTCTTTATCTGTGCTACTCGGATGGACAGTCGTCTGCTAAATAAAGCATCAAACAAGCACAAAGACCTTGTTAGTGATTTCGACGAACTGTCATCTTGATGAACTTACAGACTAGCGTTGCGCTCTTCCCGTCTCCCTTCTAATATGCCGTGATTGGTAAAATCAGCGGCGTTATCACGGCTTTCCTTCTCTCCGCTTCGGCCGTCCACGCTCTAAAACTCACCGGTAGCGAGGCGGGTGGGAACGCGCCCGTCTCACGGCTGCCTTCAAAAGCGGGTCGCCGCTGGGTCCCACACACCGCGGCGGCCACAAATGAAATCACAAAATTACAGCCTGTGTCTCTGTAGCTATCGCCGTGATTTGGCTGGGCAGGCGGGTGGAACCGGGAGCGATATACCGACATCTGTGGCTGCCGTCCGTAATAATACGCCGGACGATGTCGAAACAATGAGCCGAACAGCCCGTAGAAATCCCTCGTTAAGCTCCGGCGGCGAAACTCATCAGCGACAGATGAGTTAATGTCGCCGTATATTTTACTTGCAGTAACGCACTGTCACCAAGCGCGGCAATTTCGACGCTGTCTTTCATCCATCGACGGTCTGGCGGCCCAGAATGCATCTTTTCGTCCGAAATGACGCCTTTCCAATATCAAGATGACGTTTAGCACCTTGGGCAACTCTCTATTCCAGCGCTGCGCGTAAATCAAGCATATCTATCCTGTAATAGCCGACCTCTCCGGAGCGAGGCCACCTCTTGGGAAAGCGCTGCCGCAAACCACTGCCTGCCGCTCGGCTCGCAGCTCGGGTCAGTCGTGAGCTGGGCGCAGGCACGTAGCCCGGTCAGCTGCTCAGGAACGCCGCCACTGACGAAACCAATCGGTCGCCCGTGACAATTATTACCGAGATCACCGACGCGATAATGATAGAGTGAGAACGGATGAAGCCCCGCCCAGGCTGCACCTGTGAGTTGCTGAGACAGCGAAGTCCATAGGCTCGTGAAAACTGAACAGACGCGAGAGGTGCTGTTCATGGAACCTGTTCGATCGTGAAACCTCCACAAGGGAGATTAGAATGGGCTGGGAGACCGTGCCGAATCTCCCGTCTGCTCCCCATCCGAGCGGCACCGGCAGCTCAATCATCAGATCAGCGCGGCGCGACCGGCGCGCGAGCGGCCGTGTCGCGGCATTATCGGCGCACCGCGCTGCCGCCGGCCGCTCCTTTGAGAGTCGACACCCGGAGACAAAGGTGGCGCGCGCGCGGCGCTGAATGCCGCGCGTGAGCCGAGAGCTCGTGAAGCCGCACGGCCGCAGAGGAGGAGGAGAAACCAGCGGCGACGGCGGCTCGATCGTAAACGGCGGGCGGCAGCACGGCTGGCAGTCAGAGCAGACGGCAACCATGGCAGCCAGGGCAGACGAGGGCCCGTCAGAGACCGGTGTGGTGCAGCTCCGATGCTCGGTTGTAGCACAGGGCTGCCGTGGCAGTGTCCCCGCCCCACCGCCGTCCCAGCCGCCGCAGCCAGCCCCGTCTGTCCGTTCCCGCCCCACCGTTGTTACCAACGGCACGTACCCAGCGGGGAGGTGGGCGGCTCTGTGCAGCTGGCGCGGCGCTGCCATGTGTGCAACACAGCTGCGGCAGTGACCTTGACCACAGGGGCTGCCACCCCTCGGAACGCCCGCCCAATAACTCACCCCACCCTCGCGTGCCGGCGGGGCGCCGCCCTACGGTGGGTGCACCGTGAGCGCTCGACCCCGCCCGGCCGGTCGGTGCGCCGGCGCGCCTCAGGACGATGCTGGCCGGCTCGGCGCGCTGCCGTCGTGTCACCCCCGTCCCTGGCCGGCGACACGAGCCGCTGTTTCCGGCGCGCAGAGCCGCTGACTCACCGGGCCGGGCGCTGCAGGCCGACAGCGCGGTGCTCGGACCCCGTGCACTGCCGTGGCGCCGTGCCAGCCCGCGAAACGACACCTGGTTCTGAGCATCAGCAGCGCGCACACCACCGGCGACCGAAGGACAGACAAAAACTACAGCGTCGACGCAGCGACGAGCCTCAGGCTCTTCGACGAGGGTCCCTGCTGCTGAGATTCTGCTGCGAGAGACGAAGGCTCGTCTCACGCCGTACAGCAAACGACGAAACAATGAACCCAAGAGGAGGCATCCTGGTTTCCTTGGTGGCCCAGCTCTCCATCCCGTCCCAGCGACACACCGTCACCATTTCTGTGGCGCCACGACTTGCACCATTTGTCGTCGGGGCAGCAGACGGTAAAACCACGGCCTGGAGAGCGGCGTGGCGGCACGGCTCGGTACCGCGCGCCGCTCGCGCCGCCCGGATCAGCCGCTGGAACAGATCCGACCACTTTCAGGCGCGGCGCCGGCCAGGCGGCGCCCGGCCGAGACGCGAGCTGTCCTTGGTGCCGCGCGCGCCGGACCAGCGCCGGCGTCAGGTCGTCCCGGAGCCCGACCGGCGAGGTGGGAGGTTAATTTACGGCCAGATTAGTGCCACAACAACCGAAGACTTCTAAACGAGCGGCGAGGCTCTTCCGCATGGGGCCATGAAGTCGTCGCCGCAAATGAAGACTATTAGCGTAAACGAACACGTTTTCCATGACAAAGCGCTGACAATTAGCTCCCCACATGTCTGGCCTTTACGTCATCGTCATCCAGCAATAGTTTTACGAAACTCTGTCCAATCTGAGCTCGGACAAGGTCACTGGCCAGCCGCGGCCGGTCGGGCCGGGCGGTCGGGTGCAGCGCACTTGTTCGGCGAGCGGACAAGGAATGGTTGCATGTGGGAGCAGGTCGGATTTGGAATCATGATAGCGAGTTCACGGGGATATGGCGAGTGCAAACCGTGAAATATTTTCCGCCATATGCGGCTTAGCCAGGCCCGCAGTCAGGGAGCTGGCTGAAGGGACAAGTTACTCTTGCAATAACAATGTTTGTGGCGCTTCGTCATCCTATTTTGATAAGTTCCGTTCCCGATCAGAAGTCAAGCAAACCATGATTAACAAATTTGAGAGGCTAACACTTTACGGAGAGACCAGCAGCCGGCGTTCATCTATCGATCGTGTCCGGGTATATACAGGTCACACCACTGACAGCAGCGCCGCTCGCGGTGGGCCGGGTCACTGTTGACCGGATCTATGTACAGATCACACCACCGACGGCAGCGCAGCTCGCGGTGGGCCGGGTCACTACTGACGGTTCTGGGGCGTGTCAGCCGCGGTCGAGCCGTCAGCGACCCGACGACGCGGCCGCAGAACGGCATATAAACACGTCATGGCGCCGTCACCGATCGACGACCTCAGCAAACAGGAAACGCCGCCAGACGGGCCGCCAAAACAGCCGAGACAGACGGCCAAAACAGCGCCGCCTGCCCACCTGAGCCGCCGCCCGGTGGACCTGGACTATCAGCTGGTCAGGCAGAGGAGTCCGTTCTGAGATTCAGGGCCAGCATTCGCCAGAGATGACGCTGCAGACACTCATATGAACGAGCTGTCTGATAGCGAATATTATCAATTATCATTTCGATTCGTTTTTGCCTTTTAGCGCGCGGCGGACAAGGACGAATGTGCCAGACACAAAGAGGTGACGGTTGAACAGCGCTAAACAGCGTGAGATGGCTGAATTTCATCACCGGTAAAAACCAGACCGTACACACCCAGCCGCAACATTAGCACAGCTATAGAGCCCCATTCCTTCCAGCCCCTGTCCTGATCGCAGAACACCGTCATAATTGGAAATTAGTGCGAGTGACACAGGGAACGGGGCGATGTCAGGTCGGCAGCTGTCCTGCGTAATTTAACCGGTGACAGCGGTAATAGCTGGGGCACCTACGTCATGACGCAAAAACGGCGGCAGTGGCCTCACCTCACCCCGCTACAGCGCGGCGGTGAGGACGGACGCCGGGAGCCGGGAGCAGGGAGCAGGGAGCCGGGAGCAGGGAGCCGGGAGCAGGGAGCAGGGAGCCCGGCCTCGGCGAGCAGTGGGATGGCGCTGCCGCGTGGGGCGTGACCGCTCCTGGGGCGACCCATCGTCCTCGGACACCAGGAGAGGGTGTGCGCTCCCCGGAGAGGGCGTGCACTCTCCGGCCGGTAACAGATGGGGTGCCGCCAATCAGATAACGTTTTCATTACCCCGACCGCCGGTTTCTCTCTCGGTACACGGCTCATGTGCTGGGGTGGCGAGGCGCCGCTATCAAGATCAGCCGGCGAATCCGGCGCATGCTTCACAGCCATGCCCTAATAGGCACCCGCTACAGAGAAACCGGCACTATTTTTGGGGCGGTTCACGTTTCGTGTCACGCCGGCGCGCGGTGCGGTGCGGTCCTTTCCCGTCGGGAGCTGCGGGTGCTGAGTGGGGTGCTCAGACGGGCGTCGGAGCCTCACCTGGGGTACTTGGTGCAGTAGTCGATGTAGACGGCGAACCGTCCGCCGTGGTTGACGAAGCTGGTGGCCACCTTGGTCGGGTCGAGCTGACACAGCTCGAGCGCCGCCAGGAATGCACTGCCGGCAGACAGACAGACGGACGGATCAGCTCATTGTGCACGGACGGCTCCATTCGTAAGCCCTGTCCGCCCCGATCGACGGATCGACGTCCGCAAACGAAAACACACACACACAGCGAGACGGCGAGCTCGGCTGGCAAACAATTCATTCTGCGAACAATGGCGTCTGCACGGGTTGCACGGCTTGCCGAGGGCAGCTCGGGGCTGCAGCTCTCCTAACTCCGCCGACCCCCGCCGACAGAACACAGACGATCCGGCAAACAGGCAAGACAGATCGGCGAGCCAACCGGCACAGACTCGAACAAAGACCGGAAGCTGCGGCCGCCGTCGGCGACAGGGGCTAAACACCGCGGCCAACTCTCCAGAGTCTCTGCGCCATTCAGACCGGGCGCTCCGGCTCAACACACATACACGCACCGTGCACACACATACACACACAGCCCTTCCGAGCCGCAACGACCGGTGCGTGTTTACACGACCAAAGCCGCTGCCGCAGCTGCGCCACAAGCGTAACAACGCGCCAGAGTTGTCGCCGCAACGCTAGAGTTGTCGCCACCGCGCCAACGCTTGCCTCACAGGTGTGGGAGCCCTCGCGGCCGTGAAAAATTAGGTCTGTAACACATGACTTAGTGGCTGGTGCTGAATCCTAGTTTTACTAGGCCTTTGTCACTCTGGGTGACATACCCCACCTGTGTCAGCCGCATGGCGTCTGACACTTTCCCGCCAGTGACTGCTCCATGCAATCTCACCAGACGCACACAACAGCGAACCCAGGTCAGCGCAGGGTCAAACAAGGCGTCTCCTCCGGTCCCGACCCAAACCCTGTGCGAGAGCGCCGGTCCAGCCTATAGTCTGTGGAGGTCGGCCCGTCCCGGGATCCGCCCAGTGCCATTCATACGTCATGTGTTCATGGTCGCCTAATTGAACCAGTCGCGTTTTACATCAGTCAAAGCGGCGGCACCGGCTGCGGCTTTGGACACACCACGGCTCTGGCTTTGGTGCGACAAAGGCGACGCGACGTGATCACGTGAGCGGTCGTCGTTCCGGCTAGCCGTGACCCCTGTCGGTTCCGTGACCTGTCGGGGTCAGAACTCACATCGACCGTGACTCCTAGCGATTGTGGGTCCAATTAAACAGTCTGCAGCCAGCAGGGGTACCATGTGCCGCGGCACGGCGAGTCATAGTCAACAGTTGACATCACTGCAGGCTCGGCCCGACCGCAGCGCTCATATCAGCGGTACACGAACCCCGGGACAGGAAGTGCCAGGCCCATGAGCCCACGGAGGACACGCGCGATGGAGGAGGGGCGTGTGGTAGCTGCGGTGGCGGCGGCGGCAGTGACGGGGGCGCGGGCGCGGGGGCGGTAGTGACAAAAACTCGCTGCGGAACGGATGGCACAGTTAGGCAGTGAGCAAGACGAGCGGTAACCGCAGCCGTCGGCCGAGGGTGCCGCTCTAAGGGCGATATCGGTGCTCCAACACTGTTCCAGAATCAGTCCAGAACTGGCGCACAAACGCGAGGGAAAACTATACCTACCGCGGCTGAACTCGCATGGTTGAAGGACCAGCTGCGCTTAAGGATCATGAGAAGGCAATCCAGGAAAGACTACAAAATGAAGTTTGCATTATGGCATGGACGAAACATCCACAGCAGGCTGATAACGTGCAATCATGATTTATAAACGTGTACCCAAACCACGAAATGGCAGCACTTACTGGAATCGCGCCATGCGACGTTTGAAAGCGGAATTATAGAGGCAAAAAACACCATGCTGGAAGCAGCAAATTAAACGGAACTTTCCAAGGCCAAGAGACATGCCGACATAACACAACCACAACGGTCTAGAAGAGGTTTGAAAAAAGACGTGTCTCGTGAGGGAATGGGAGATGTTATCAGTGATAGTCCGTCCTGTGCTGCTGAATAGCGCGCCGGTCATCGCAACACATGTTCGCTAAGTCTAGCTACTCTTGGAACATACCGGCGGATCGGCTTAGCCTGGCTTCGAGGAAAAGCTGATGCAGTGTTGACATAGATACTCATCGAGCTGGCAATCGCTGCTCTATCAAACGCTCTTTCCGGGCTAAATGGACGGATATTTCCGCCGTGGCTGTGTGGAATCCGCTGCGGACCGGTGCCCTATGACTGCCGCCGGTGCCTGACCACCGTGCACCGATGAATAATTCAGCCCGGCGAACCTATCAGAAATAGGCGCACACACGGCCGTATGAGAGTGACGCGGTCCGGCCAGTGAGCGATAGACCGGTGACCCATATGCAGACCAATGTGAAGGCGACCGCATACAATATGTGACGGCCCAGCGCGGCGAGCAGACGACTTTCGCCCGTCGCCGAGACCAAGCTGGCGAGATCCGGGGAAGGCTAACGCAGTGCTCAGGCAAAATGACTAGAAATAGTAACGGCGTTTTGACATAACTGGATTTGGAGCGAAGGTACTGCTCCGCCTCCGTCTATGTATATATTTTGCAGCGAAAACTTTGACACATGGTACAAGATGCTACATTGCAACATATAGAAAAGTTGTTATTTTCTCGGTTATACATCGATCACTGCACTTTATCCTGACGCCATCGGCGATCCAACTCCCTGGGAACGGCGTACAATCCTTCCTGATGACCTGTTTTTACCGGACCCAGCTCGGTTTCCGCCCTGCTTGTTACAGCTGAGCGATCGCTTTCCTGTCGAATAAATCCAGCCAATAATTGGACTGGCAAATGCCTGTCGCGACGACACAGCCCGGACCCACTCGTCGGCCCAGTGACCGTGCAGTTCGGTCGCACGCTCAGGCGACATCAATCAACTCAGTGACGAGCTTGGCAGGCCGAGACGACAGTATTCATCGTGCCGGTCCTTGGTGTGATCGCTGCTCGTTTAGTGCGCGCGGTGGCGCCATGGGCGATAGAGCGCGTAGCCTGGAGCTCGCTGCAGACCTGGCTCTCGAGATTTTGCTGCCGCTGCCTCCGAAGGCCGAGCACGTACCCACGGCGCCATTCAAAGGCCGCCAATTCACACAATGAGACCCACTCCATAAAACAGACTCAACGAGGCCGAGCAGATTTAATCCAGGACGCGATATGAAATGCACACAAGTTTTAATGAAAAGTTATCGGACCATCACTCTCCGGCAGTTTTCAACAAAACAGAGCCGCTCCTTTTTGCCGGACGTTGTCGCTGATAACACGTTGATGTAATAATCGCTAAGGTTGGTCAGCGGTCTCGGCCGTCGCTGCCGTTGGTCAGTCGTCTCGCCCGTCTGACCGTCTCTGGGTCCCTAGCAATCTCCAATGTCCGTGTACTGAGGCCGCGTTACATTATGCAATATGCATACCGCATTCGGCCCGGAGCCCACCGCTGCACCACCAGATGGCCTCGTCAAGGCCTTCTGAACAAGGGTCCGAGGACCGGCCCTCTGATCCCAGCGACCGCAGGACGGCCGGGGGCGCCTTTCACGGGGTCGCCACCTCTGACCGGGGAGTCTGACCCGACACCACCAGCCGCCTCCCGCCACCACCTCCACCCCAGTCGGCGCCGCCGCAGGGCAGTGAGCGCCGCGGACGAGGCATTGCCCGACGTCGGCTATGCGTCGACTTGGCTGGCTGTTTGTGCGATCCGAGTTCCGCGCACAAAAAGTGGACACGTCGATTGGCGGCGCGGCTGGGGCGCCCACAGCTGCGGGCCGGCGGCTCGGCGCAGCGGCAGAATTAGCCCTCACTCCAGCCCGGCGAGCCCGTCTGTTCGCCTGTCTGTCTTCACTGGGGCTGGTGTCGGCTGAGGCTGACTCGGGGCGACTCACAGCGCTGCCAGGCCCGAACCCCGGCTGGATGACACTTGAAAGTGAGATCGAGTGAGGCAGGTCTTCAAAGACGTGAATGGTGAAAGGAAGCATAAGAAGCTACAAATAGTCAAGTGTAAGTGTTAGATATACCGACGAAATTAAGTAGTTGTAAGGTCAGGTCGCTAGGGAACGATGACATGGAGCGAAGCACATGCTGGCCACTAATACACGAAGATGCACGAAGTTTTGAAGATGTTCACGAAACATGAGGCGGGCATAAGAGAAGCAAAGGAGTACACGAGCACATTCACCCACTCGACCTTTCCCAGCTTACCTGTTGCAGCGGAATATCTCCTGCACGTTGCTGAAGAGGGCATCGGTGTACTCATCCACGATCGCAGGCTCTGGGTTCTCGCGCCAGTAGAACAGATAGCCCTGCAACGGACAGAATGGGGCTGTCAGAGGCGGCGTTCCATCATCGCTGCCCTCCCAGTCACCGGCACATCGCACCGATCGCCGCGGCCGACGTCAGTCTGCAAACGGGGCTATCAGTGTGCATATATTGGTCCGACGGAGAAGCCACGAGGACTCCGTGAGCACGTGGACCGAGTCATGTTTAGAGAGAGCAGGGGCGGGCCAGAGACGACCGCGGAGGGATCATATAGTGTGTCGATGTGACGACAAGAGACCAGACCAAGAGACCAGACCAGACTTGAGCCTATGTCTGAGGTGACGACACACGAAAAGACGTCCAAGTAAGGCTGAAGAAGGGTTGGTTGCCTATACACCAGCTGTTCAGTGGCGCAATAAGGCGGTTTGTCTGCGGGAGAAACGGGCTAAAGAAAAGCCTCATTCTGTCCCTCGTCAGGCAGAATACCACGAAAAACCGAGAGCAGAGAGACACGGGAGATAAAGCGGCCGAGGAAAGAGAGAGCGAGTGGAAGGATCAGACCGCGGCACCGGTGCGGGCTGGCCGATCATTAATTACGCACGCAGTCGCGGGAACTATCTGCCGCCGCACGGCAGAACCGAGTGTCGGGTTCCCAGCGAAGGGTTTCCACACCCCTGGCGTGCGTGCTGCGGCCGCTCGGGCCGTGTTTTCTGGCCATTGTCGGGTCCGCCCAGAGAATGGCTCCAGCCGCACTCGACTCCTCCCCCTCACAGCGAGCCTCCGAAATAGATCGGTGTGAGCCGCGGCAACTGTCAATTTACGGGCGCACATTACAGGATCCTCCTACACGCAAGTGGCAATTACCACAGCGGCTCGCCCTCGGAGGAAGAAGGTCCGATGGTTCCTGAGACAACGCGGAATGACGGCATGAGGAAATAACCTGCGAGCAGGTGGAGGGGTTCAGGAGCGGGTGGAAACTGCTTTACCGAGACTGTTACCGATGGAAATGGGGATGTTTTTCTCGAAGCAAACAGGGGTCTGTGACGAATTCGGTGCGTGAGCGATGTGGTGGGACCTGGGGGAGGCCCTCCGAGGACGGGTGCCCTGCGGTGGGGCCATGGGACGCTCCGGCGTGGGGACGGGGTGGTGACAGGCCCGGCGGGGGACAGGGTCCGACGTCCCACGGCGTCTCCCGTCACGGAGACCCACCCAAACGACCCCCACTGAGTGAACTGAGGTTCGCTGCCGACTGGTAAGACGACCAACACAACACAACACAAAATGCCCAAATGCTGTCAGGTTTGTCCGTAAAGGATCTGATCACATTCCAGTGCCGCCATAGTTTCAGGGTCCGTCATAAAAGTCTGCATTGTGTGGGCCACCTGAAATATCGCCCGCTGTCGTGACCATCAGAGCGGTGACCTATTCATGACAGGGTCGAGCCGTCACCTGGCGCTGTCGCCATGGTCGTGGCCGGGCCCGGTCTTGGCGCAGCCGCCGGAGCCGGGCCGCTGCAGGCGCACGTGAGTCAGAGCTGGCCCCGGGCGCCGGCGTCACCAGAACCGTGACCGGCGCGCCACCGGACCCCGGCCGCCCCTCGCCGCCGGCCTCCCACACCGACAACAATAGCACGGCGCCGCGGCGGGCGGCCCGGCGGCGGCGGCAAGGGTGCGGACGGGGCGCGCAGGCTCTCCAGGGTGCGCCGGTTGACCAGAGAGCCGGCCCAGGGTGACGCAGCGCGGCTGTTGGCCGGTCACGGTTCCGGCGCGGCCGGGGAGCCAGCGCCGCCCACCGCGACACAACAAGGCGGGCACACCGGACGGTTCTGTTTTCCCAGGGCCGCTGCTCCCCTGGAAAACAGCTCAGGCCGGGCCCGCGTGTTGACTCAGTGAGCACTCACGCACTGCCACAACAAACAGTAGCGGTATTTTGGCGTGCCGGTCTCTGGGACGCGCTGTGCGCACCGCAGAACACCCCGCCCCCGCCTCTGCCGGCGCCGGATCGCTGAACTATCTGGTAGCTGGTGAACAGCGAACAAATATGTAAAATGTTTGTAGAAAGTAGGGCCCCGTTGTTATTCCGGGCGGGGCATGGCGGCGGTAATGACGGGATTATGGCGGGACGCGCCGCCACCGCCGGACCCAGAACACAGAGCAAACACATTTCTCACGTCCCGGTAACGAGCCGACATGCGGGGCGCTCTTCGGACGCTCTCCAGGAGCCCAACTCCTCTTCAGGTGAGCGCACTCCCGCTCTTCAGGTGCACGCTGGCGCCCACGCACCACGGCCGACTCGAGTACTTGGGCGAGGTGTGTGCCGACCCAAGATAAAAGTTGAGAGGCGCGTGGGCCGCCAGCTCCACGTGCGCGCTCCAAAACGAGGCGCAAACAGCCGCCGCTCGTGTGAGTACAATGACCCTACGACCGCCGTCAAACCACTAGAAGCACCGCCGCTGCCAACCGCGGGCGAGCTTAGACAATTGAGCCATTTTAGGGATTATTTACACTCCGTTTGGAGCCCATTCCTCTTGATTCCGGAAGCTGTCGAAGCCTCTCAGCGTTTGCAAGAAACGCCGACAAAAAGGAGCGAGTTTGGCTGAGAGGCGTCAATAGCGAAGGAGGAGGCGCGAGAGAGGAGTGCTTTTCATTCTCACACTCAGTCGCACGTCTCGCGGCCATTTGTTGGGCCGGTTCTTAGTTCTTATGGGCCCGGCCGTGCCTCTCGCCGGCCGCCCGTTCCTCAGCGTTTGCCGAGTAACAGGCGAAATCAATTAGGCCACGAGAGCTTTTTCCGTGACCAGCCTGGCGCGTGAGGTTTGCCAGAGCTTGCCCGACTTCTTGCCGGCCTCTGCAGTGGTGGTGGGACGGAACACGACATAACAGAGCGAAACACGGCCCTCGCCAGGCGTGTTGTGCGAAGAGTGTGAGAGGCGACGACTGGACGGTTCCGGTCCCGTCCCGGCGGCGACTCACACCTCTGCTCGGTGGAACAAAGCCGAGGTGTCCTTTTCAGTCAGCCGCGGCGTCCAGCGCCGCGCCCGGAGACCCCCGTCGAGCCGTCGCGTCGCCCGTCGCCGCATTCCGTCCGTCCCCGTCGCTCCATTTCGGACCAAGGTCGCTCGTCGTGTCCGTCCGCGGAGTTTGCCGCACGCCACACCCGTCCGTCGGGAGAGACAAAGGCAGCGAAAGGCACCGTCAACGACAGCTTTTATGCGATGAGCCGCGCATGCCGCCTGATGAATGTCTTTACGGTTTTAATTACTGTCCGGCCGCTCGCCTTTCACCACGGGGCGTGGGGATCTGTCGGCCGGGCGGGGACACGCACTCTCAGAGGTCTCGGCCCACCCCGGCCGCCCGGGTCGGCCGGCTTTCACAAGGGCTGCAGCTGCGGTCGACCTGTCTTCAGGCCGTCTGTCACTGGAGGAAAGTCCCGGGTGCCTGCTGATGGGATATCGTGGGCGGGCCGGGGAAGAGCACCACAGTCCATCGGCCGATGACAGAATGAGATGGACTCCGGTCGACCCCAGACGACCCGAGACGACCCAGGGCGGACGCGAGACGACCCGAGATCGCAACAGGGCGCCTGAAGAATGCGGAGCGGCCTGAATAGAGAGCGCATCAGCTGATGTGAACGGAGTGGCTAGGATGTGAAATGACAACACCCAAATGAAGAGACTTCAAGGACGGCAGCAGGCCAAATGGAAGTAACGACAATAGGATGACCTGTAAATGGTTTCGAGCATGACAGGCAGCATTTTTTGGCCAACAAACTGTCGCGCAGAAGCCAGCTGTCAAGGCTAGTTCCGTCATTTCCGTGATGGCTAAAAGCAGGGTGCGGAAAGACAGTAGCAGCGCCAGTGCAGCCGAGCCTGAACAAGACCTTGCCAGGCGCCTCCACAATCAGATAAACTTCAGACACAAACGACTCTCGGAGACCTCTCTCCGCTGAGTGAGTCGTCGTTAGAGGCGTCGGTGTCGGACTCGGGTGACGGCAGTGTTATCGGTAGGGGAAGACGACACGTGCACGGTGACTCAGGGACGCCGCCGGGGTGGTTTGGCCCGTCTGAGGCCGCCTCCGGCCCAGACCGACTGAGGCCGCCGCCTCCCGCCGGGATCCATTCCCGGGCGTCCGACATTGATCGCCGGGCGGCGGGGGCGTTCTGTCTCACTGTAGCACATAATTAACCGATCGGAGGGGGTCGCCGCGCCGGCGCCGCCCGTCCAGTCATCGGCAATGAGTTGACAGAACTGGCGCTCGTAAACACCCATCGTCCCCACGGCGGCGGGAAGCGAAACGAGTTGGAGGAAGGGAGGCAGGCGGCGGAGCGGAACAACCCTCCACCGGAGCGAGCTCCAGACGGCGTGTTTACCCAAGACGGTAGCGCGCGGCAGCGCACACATGCTGCAAGACGCAGCAGTCGCAGTACCAAAGACCAGCGGAGGGCGGGCCGGCCATGCTCGCCGCATCTGTCGAATCAGGTCCACCCACGCCCGCAGGTGGACATTATCCGGCCATCTCTGCCGAGGGCGGGCACACAGCGCTGTCCGGAGTCCGGCTAACTGGGGGTGACAGACGGCACGCGTCACCGCTCGCCGGCCGGCCCGCTGGGACCCCGTCCGGCCGGCTGAGCTCCTCCGCTGGACGGCACCCGCCCTCGGCGCCACTAATCTGCGGTCCAGTTATGATGACCGTGTCGGCTGGTCGGACGGTCGGCGCCGCAGAGCACCAGCCCCAGCGCCACGGGTCTGACCGGGTACCCGGCGCAGGACGGGAGTGGAGATAGGGAACCGACGGGACCGGCCGGCCGCCGTGTGATAGCAGAGCGGCTTAGCGACGGGTGCACGGCCCAGTAGACTGGCGCACGTGCTCCTCCAAGGACGAAGCAGCTCTGTCAAGGACGTACCGCAGGCTGATGGGAAGTACACAACTCAAAATAATTGATAACGTTATAAGCTGGTCCTTTTCGCAGCACAGTTCAATTAATTTCGTATAAGTAGCCGTACGGAATATTTATGTAATCGTAAACTGACCACGCATACGGGCGAGTCATTTAAAGGGCATCTAAAAAGGCCGTAAACGAAATATACCTGCGAGAACTTGTTGGACGTTAAAATTACAGCAAAGAACGCACAGAGACAGGCAAACAGCGAGCGGCCAGCGGCAACTGCCTGTTGTGTCGGCACCCCGAAGGGAACACGGCACAAATTCCGTCCTACAGATCCAGTGGGGGTCTGACGTCCCGCCGTGAGGGAAGGTCCCACGCGTCACGGCCAAATCACGGATGTCACGGTTAATACCGGGAATTCCTGACCACAGCTGGGTGACAGAAACAAAACAATCGAGACGGGGTGTCCACAGATACATATCTAGTCGGTAAAGTTAGGCGACTGTACGGTTCGTGAGACAATGGAACCGTCTTTCTGCGCATCCGGTTGATTAGATACTATAGCATAACAGTGAATGAATGAACCTTTCACTTCCCACGCTTTTTAAAAGGAGCAGTGACATCACACAATTTGAAGCCGTTACAAAGCACGGCAAAAAGCCGTCAACTGGTTGCCAGCTGAGGGAAAACGGACACTCGTATAACAAATGACTAAATCGTACCGGGCCACCTACACAGTTCATTAGTTGAGTTTGAGTTGACCTGGACGTCACTGCAAACTGCAGGTAGTTCACCTCTCCACCCCTACTGCATCGTATCGGACCAAACTGCAAGTGGTTGGCATGCGAATTGAAATAGGAACAATTCATTCCCCAGAAACACGCGTTCCCGACCGTCATATCCGCCGCCCGCCGTGGCGACTTTGACCCGGTGACCTCCAGTGGCGGCCACCTGCCGTGACCTGCTGACCTCTGGTATCGATCGTCCATGACTGGACGACATCAGCCCGATCGACAGCTGAGTCATAAGGCACGGTTCACACGCGAGGTACCGCATACCACAGAGTAAAAGCTACGATTTCACAAACGGACTACACACTCGAAACGACTCTAGTTTTGGCACACGGGTTTTGGTAACAAGAAAGGCGAGTGCTTAGGAAAATACTTGTTGGTTGTTAACCATTGGGTTTGCAAGCCAAGAACAAACATTACGATGACAAACTACAGCAAATATTAGCAAAATGGAAAATATTTTACGGATTACAAGAAGCGTGACGCATATCCTATTCTTTTTCTTCATATTAACGGTCCAGAAACCAGTCTCTCGGTAACCGCCGGCACATTTCTACAGCGATCCGCCGGGCGCTTTGTCCGCCAGATTACTGCAAGAAAGGAAGCGTGTTTACCGGCGAGAAATGGGCCAGTTGCAGCCGGAGACACGCATTCCGAGATAGGGTGGCGGCGGAGACCGGTAGCCGCCGTCCCGGTACCGGCCGAGCTCGATTGGTCAGTTCACACGCGCTCAGAACTGCTCCCGCTGATGAGCCACTGGAGAAATCCAGTTATAATTCGGACGGTGATGGAGGCGGTGTTGAGCGGCAGCGGTGGTGGGATTGCAGAGGGTAATCTATCCTGTCTGCCGCCGCTAATATGGCAGAGACAGATCTGCCGGGGCCGGGGGGAGGAGCTGAGGTGGACGTCTCTGCCAAGTGATGTGTGGTCCTAGAGCTGGGCAGTTGGCACTGAGGTAGGTCATGCATGACGACATAATACCAGCCGGAGAGAAGTGGAAAGATCACGAGGTCGTACCGAACCGATGCCACGCTCCAGAAGCATCACAGCGCGCGCCGGGTTGTACGATTTCTCCTCTGTGGCGCAGCGCTCAGAAATGAGCCTCCCAGCCGGCACACCGGCGTACCATGGGCAATCAATCCATCGTTCGGTAACATCGGCACCGAAGGTCGGCCAAAGACCCGGCAGGTCCTCTTTTGGACACGTCAAGGGCAGTTTTTGCGACTAACAGTCACGGCTCGGTTGCTGTACCGACCGTGTCGTGTCGTCAGCCGTCGGGTGACTGCGCCGCTACAGGTCAAAGGTCGCTCACGAAAGCTGTCACGTGACGCGACGGTTGGCGACGAGGCGGGGTCGGGACGGGTTAACGAGCCATCAAAACTCGCCGGCTGCCCGCAGTGCCGCCAGGACGGGCCGGCGGGGCCCGCGGCGGGCCCTGATGAGATCCAGGCGGTGTGGGCGGGGAGCTGGCTGGTAAACAAAGCGCGAGGGAGCAGCAGCCCGCTGCCGTGCGGGAAGGGGGGAGGGGGCAGTTCTGGCACAACCTACAGCCGCTGTCGGTCATAGCAGTGCAGCAGAGACAGTGTACCAGACCGCAGCAGCAGAGTGTCCTGTCCAAATGTTGGCGCACACACGCTGCCAATCGAGCTGATCGTGGCGCGAATTCGCTCGATTTGGGTCAACATGGTTCGAACTGCCACACGTGGTTTGCAGGAAAAGACTGGGACAGCATGTACTCGTGCGGTGCAAGATGACATGTAGATAAGAATCGTTCATTCTCAGAACAACGAATATTCCTCAAAAGGTCATTTGAATCCGAGAGAGAGAAATTAATGTCAATAGATCACGCCAATATTAATCAAAAGTAACGCCCATCTTCAAGACGGTTGTCAAGAAGTGACGAGTAGCGCTGGAGTTCTTGGTCTCTTAGTAACACGACACAGGTTAGGCTGATTTTCTGCACAAAACATCTTCATTTACGTCAAGCGGTTCGTGGCATCGTCAAACAGCGCCGGGGTACAGTACGTTTCGGTGTATGACACGGTCTGTTTGCATATCTGGCCGTCATTCGGACGTCGCGCTGTCGCAGTCTGTCGCCGAGCGGCGCCGCCAGTCGACTCACCTCAATGACAGAGCGCAGGTCATTGACGTAGACGGCCTCTGTATCCACCACCTCGGCCACCACCCGCTCGATGTAGGTCAGGCTGGGGTCACAGAGGTCAGGCGCCCCGGGCGACGTCGGGGACGCCACGAAGGTCAGCGGCGACGACAGTCCGCTGTCCCCGGAGCCTGCGAGATACAGAGATACATGGACGTCATACAAAAACGAAACATTAATCACAGACGACAAAAATGAAGGGACGTCAAATCAATGTCAAACAATTTATTCATAGTGTTTATAACTTTGACTTACAGCGTCTTTTTAGTTGCCATCTTTAAGCAAAGACAAGCTTTGAGATCATCCTGAGAAGCATTTCTATCCATTTGTGTATCGTGTGCTTAACTCGCCCTTCCCGCTCCCGAAGGCGACATGTTATGCGGTACAGTATACATTCAGGCGTTCGAGACTGCTGCCACCTAGCGACGGAAAGATAAGCTTAGGTGTCAACATGAGTTCATTATCAAGCCTGTTGGACGTTGAACTCCACTCTTTGTTCGACCATGTTGTGACCGTCAAACATGGCCAGGCATTACTCACATCGTATCGTCAATGTACGCACAACTTCAACAAAGAATGATAAGAGCGATATCGTTCGATTAAAGCGTTCTCCGATATCGAGTACACGATAAACAACTCTCGAGTGTTTATAGATCAATTAGGTAATACTTATCAGAACATTGTCCAAACTACGTCAATATGATGCAAGATTCAGTGACAAAGACCAGACAAAAGCTCCCTGTCGGTCACAAACCAGAAACCCGGAACGACATCGTCAAACACACTGTCGGAACTGATGTCAAAATAGAGCGGGTAAAAATGACAGAGACTCGGCCAGTTGGACAGACAGAGTCGCCGGTGAGGAGCGACCCGGCGTAACGGCCGGCGTGACGTCCCGTTACCGGCCTCCGATCGTCACCGCGAGGAGAGGAACGCACGGCGCGTCACGCGGCCGGTACCGTTCGCCGGCTGGAAATACCGCCAGAAGTGCCGGCCGGGCAGCGCCGCCCGGCCCGCCCGCCATCAGCGCTATCAGATCAGATGTTTTACATTCAATACCGGGTGACGGACGACTAAAAGGAGCTGTGTTCGAGAGCGCCACGGTGTCACGGGGTGTGATGGAGCTTAGAGCTGAGCTGAAGCGGGACTGGGGTGCTCCAATAATCCAGGTGAAACCGATGGACGGATCCCTGACATGGAAAATATTCCATAGCAATAGCCTACACAATCAGGAAGATGCCATCGCAATCCAGACTGCTGTGCAGTTACGTCGGCGTTGATCAGCTCTCGTAACGGCCAAAAACTTTGTCACGGCGAATAGGTCCACATTTCTGACATAGTGTTTCAGACAGGAGCCGTGCCAGCCAGCGACCCAGTGGATGTCTCTGCCTCAGAATTCGCATGTCAGAATTCCATGTCCGGATTCCTTAAACAGTTTCATCATGGTTTCGCCTATATCAGTGAGCGCGCGGTGGAGCGGGTAAATTGACGTCATATAGCGCCGCTTCGTGTCGGAATCTCGGGAGGATCAAAGTCGAGCACCCGGTGAGCGCCAACACGGCGGAGATGAGGCGATGGGCGGCGGGTGCAGCGTCACCGTCGCCGTCCACAGAGCGGTCTCACTCGCCACAGGTGAGAGAGGAGAAAGGAGCCGCGCCTCAGACTCCAGAGAGGCGCCGCGCTTCGGACTCCAGAAAGGCGCCGCCGCTTCAGACGGTGCCGCCGGAGCCGCTGTATCGCGCCGGCATCACCAACGGGCCAGCGACGTCACGAATCACGATGAGCGGTCCTATGACGTCATTGGCAACATCATGGAGTGAACATCGTGATGCGGCAAAGCACGAACGTTTTGTGTTTGACTGTTTTGCTCTGTACGCTCTGCACATCGTGATTTGCCCTTGGCAGCTGCCACCGTCGCCAGTGGGGACACATTCCGCGCAGGCCTGTAGTCACGGCGATGCCAGTCAGCCGGAGCCGGTGGATTAATTTGGACGCCCCTATCAGCACGCGAGCGGCTCGGTGGCGCCGGCCGTGTCATCCTCGGCGGTCGGCTGTCACGCACAGTGACACTCACAGCGTGTGGCGTGGAGGTCAGGGACGCGGCAGGACGGGCAACTACCTCTGCATCGCCGGGTGGATCGCGTGTCAGTGCCAGATAATCAACATGTTTGTGAACAGGTGTCACCAAGCACAAAAACAATGTTATTACAGTACTGAAGCAAATACAATTAATAGAGAACATCTATCTGCATTATAGTAATTCACGAGAATAATGTCACGGTGTTGAGGTCGTGGGCTTCAAAGAAGTCTGATTGAAGTTAAAGATGAAAATGATTCCAAGTGAATCTCAACAAGAGCATCTCTTTTGTGACAATCTGTTTCGCTGAAGTCGCGCTGGACCGTGTCATCCGGAGCGAGGAAAACCCGGCTGATCAGCTTGTTACCGCGATCCTCATTAAGGCGGCCTGAACTGGCTCGGCCCGACCACAGTTCTCGCGCTAAACCGGGCGACACGGACCGGCGGGCGGCGCTTGTAGGCTCAATCCGGCGCGGTGACAACTATTGCCGGACAGTTTTCCTATTCCGGCTGCTTGGGCACCACACGAACGGGCGTGATATTCATCTTTAGTCGCTTGTCTAGCCGCGCCGCTCCAGCAAAGAGCGGTCTGGAACACCTAGAGCCTGTTTTGTGCGAACTCTCTCCGGGGCTAACACGACTTCCAGTGTCCCGTCAGGCAGCTGCGGGGGGGGGGGGGGGGACAGACGAGCCTGGCTTTTAAACACTCTCACTGGCGATGGACCGATAAGATGACGTCGGACCACCGCGAGACGCAGAGAGCGCCACTGGGTCCTCCCCGCGCAGCAGAGCGCCTTTTGTCCGGGACCGTGTCCGTGGATTACCATCGGAGCATTCGTCTGAACTTTTCACTAGGCCGGCGGAAATTTCTCCTGGCTCCTTCGGGCCTCGATCACGTCAGAAAGTTAATCGTCGCTGCGACCAGAAGTCGCCCGCTCGGCGGGACACCGAGTCCCCAATCGCTCGCGACACGACCCGCTTAGTAATTGTCGCCAATGTCGTGATAAATAGTGAGCGAGGACGGCCTCGCGGCGGCGCTTTCTTTCCGTCCGGCTCCGTATGGGTCTGGTGACCCATACGGCGGCGCCGTATGGGTTTAGTGCGAGAGGAACCGGTCCTCCGCTGGACCAGGGCCTGTGGGCGCGTCCCCGGGGGAGCCAGCACCATATACGGCGCGTCTGGGCTCCTCTGACTGCGCCCCGCTGAAGTAAAAGGTGTGTCCATCATATCCCAAACACAAGCTCTGGGGACCGGTATGCCATGGCCAGAGCTAGCTCCTATCGCACCCAGCAGCCATTGGGCAAGCCTTACAACTACAAGCGCCGCCAACTGTAGCTCGACTCAAAAGGGAACTTCTTGATTGCAGCTCGCAGTATTTAACTTTAACCAATTTGAATAAATTTAGCAGGCGCCCAGTAAAGTTCGTCCAAGTTTCTCAGCAGAGTTACCCTGGGGAGCCCGTGTGACCGAGCTAGTGGCGGCAGCGGGACGAGTCCGACCTGACGGCGAAAGTGGCGCTCCGACACGTCCCGGGTCGCCGTCCTCGCTCCGACGCGTCACGCGTCCGCTGACTGATGGTTCGGGACAATCACCCGGCGCTCGAGCCGTACCGTCACGTCGTAACTTGCGTCACGTGACGCCACAGTAACCACGCAGGGGTCCGGCCAGAGCTGTGAGAGCCTGGGAGCATCCTGGAAGGTCCAGAGCACGATCGGGTATCTCCTGGGCACACCGCAGCACGACCAGAGCACACCTCGCCCGCAGACCAGACCAAAACAAGTCCGGTTCGGGAGTCGAGATGCACCTGAGCGCACTCTCTTCTGCGCCCGTATGGCGACGGATGGGCGCCAGACGAACGAGCAGAAAAAGACGGCGACGCCACGACGAGAATCAACTCATAGCGGCGACGCGGCTATGGAAGGTTAGGACCCTGCCAGGGCGCCACCGAACGTGACCGTGGCTAATCGCCCCATCGACAGACGCAGGGCAGCCCTCGGAGGGGTGTCTGGGAGGGCGCGGGCCGCGGGACCGCCGGGCTGTCGACTGGAGTGGCACGAACGGCAGTCGTCGACGGCGACGGGCGGCGAAAGGGTCGTAGAGTGAGCGAGAAGTTTCTAGAGCGTCGAAGAGTGTAGCGTAACTGTGGGAAGTGTCTCAGTGATCACCACAGTTCGTCCACAAGGCAAAGTCAGAAGTCTCAAGAAAGAAAAAAGTTCACCGACGGTGGGCACGTGACGGCCGCCCGTACCCAGGGCAGCGTCCAGCGGCCAGGTCCGGCCAGCCAGCGCTCGCTCCGCTGCACCACTACATTTCACTGCAGCAACAGAGCGGGGAGATCAACCGCCAGAGGATTGCGGGTCCGGCACACTAACGCCGACCCGGCAGGTGAGGAGTATCGAGCACGTCTCGGGCGGCACCTACCACAGCGGGGAGTGGTTGGCATGGCAGTACGGCGGTATCACGGAATCATACCGACGCGCGCCTATTCCGAGGTGTACTCAGCGCAGCCGTTTACGTAATCGTGCAGGGAGACGCGTAACACGGTATGCCTGTCATGCAGGGCCGTGCTATATGGTACCGTCACGCGCACTATGCGTGCTTGGTCTGCGCTGACTCCGCGGACAACCTCCTGTCGTGGCAAAGTAGCCCTACTACACGCAGCACTCAACGGCTGCCAGCGCACCGCGCCATCTAGCACCACGGCTTCCGTGCTAGGCTCGGCACCGGCGGACATTAGGTCCGCCGCCGACGCCTCGGCCCTCTGCAACTCAGGCACATACATCGGTCCGCCGCCGACGCATCGGCTACTCTGCAACGCGATACATCAGGTCCGCCGCCGACGTCTCGGCCCCTCCGCAACACGGCATGAACATGTACCGGGTCCGCCGCCGACGCCTCGGACCCTCTGCAATACGGTAATAACTCATACCAACACGGTAAGAACACACAACGGGTCCGCCGCCGACGCCTCGGCCACACTGCATCTCATCCTCATACATCGGTCCGCCGCCGACGCCTCGGCCATTCTGCAACACGGAATGCACATACATCGGT